GTGCCAGACCCCGGTCCCCACCCCAGGGTGGAGCTGACCCCGCTGTCCCTCTGCCCTTCAGCTGCCCATGTCCAGCAGCCACATGAACGTGTACAGTGGGGACCCGCAGGTGACAGCGTCGCTGGTCGGGGTCACCAGCAGCTCCTGCCCCGCYGACCTCACCCAGAAGAGAGAGCTCACAGGTACGTCCCGGCCCTGGAGTGGGCAGGGTGGCAGCAAGTGACAAAATTCGGGCTGTCCTGTCCCCCAGGGGTGCAGGGGCTCTGCTGCCAGCCCGGGGTGCAGYCCTGTCCCCTCTGGGTGACATCGTGGGTCTCTTGCAGATGCTGAGAGCCGCGCACTAGCCAAAGAGCGCCAGAAGAAGGACAATCACAACCTGAGTGAGTTCAGCCCTCTCCTGACCCCACAGCCATTTTTCCATCCTCATTCCCACTTCCCTGAGCTGCATCCCCATTCCCACCCCAGCTGACTCTCAGGAAAGACCCCCTGAGCCCCTCCTTCCTGGCTGTGCCCAGTGGGACACWGGGGACACCCCACTGTCCTTCTGGGCGGATGTCAGACCTGCTGARCCAGGGATGGAGCAGGGGCAGCTCCAGAAGCTTCTCATCCTGAGCCCCCCAATTCCARAGGGTCTGGCTGGGGCTCGGCAGTGATTTGGGACATATTTGGGACATGTGGGGACCCTGCTGATCCCTCTCCTCTCGCCCACAGTCGAGAGACGGCGAAGGTTCAACATCAAYGACCGCATCAAGGAGCTGGGAATGCTGATCCCCAAAGCCAACGACCTGTACGTACCCAGGGCTCCTACGGGACTGGGATAACTGGGATCACTGGGGGCTCTTTGGGGCGAGGGGACACGCTGCTGGCATCCAGGCCCATTTCTTTGTCCATCCTGGTGACAGGGACGTGCGCTGGAACAAAGGGACSATCCTCAAGGCGTCCGTGGACTACATCAAGAGGATGCAGAAGGACCTGCAGAGGTCGCGGGACCTGGAGAATCACTCGCGGCGCTTGGAGATGACGAACAAGCAGCTGCTGCTCCGCATCCAGGTGGGCTTCCCTGGGCTCTCCCCTCCCTCTGCTCCCCCCCAGCCCCTCCAGGAGATCCCTCCTGCCCCGCTAAGGGGCTGGCCAGGGGGTCTCCTGGGTTTTTTTTTGGCTGGGAAAGCACCAAGAGTAGTCTTGAGGCAAACTGTCACTGCTGAGCTTTGCATGGATCACTGTGGATATTCCATGGGTTCCTTCCTGGGAGCTTCTCAGTCTGCCACCCCACAAATGTCCCAATGTCACCTCCCCGAGGGTGACACCCCCATGGAATCCCCGCTGTGTCCCCTTGGCAGGAGCTGGAGATGCAGGCRCGCGTCCACGGGCTGCCCACCTCCTCTCCCTCGGGCGTCAACGTGGCCGAGCTGGCCCAGCAGGTGGTCAAGCAAGAAGCCGGCGGTGACGAGGCCACCCTGGAGCCGCTGCTGGCCCCGCCGGACCCCGAGTCGCAGCCGCAGCCCRCGCTGCCCGCRCCGCCGCAGTCTCCCTATCACCAGCTGGACTTTWCCCACAGCCTGAGCTTCGACGACGGCTCGCAGGGCTTCCCCGACAGCCTGGAGCCCGGCCACGGCGCCTCCTTCCCGTCGCTGTCCAAGAAGGAGCTGGACTTGATGCTGATGCAGGACACCATGCTGCCCCTGGCCTCYGACCCCTTGTTCTCGGCCATGTCCCCCGAGGCCTCCAAGGCCAGCAGTCGCCGCAGCAGCTTCAGCATGGAGGACGCGGACATGCTGTGATGGGCCGGGGCTGCTGTGCCTGGGGAGCTCCTGGGACGCTCCTGAGGGAGGAGCCCGTCCTGCCACGCACTTGAACCTCCCCAGGAGTTCCTTTCTCTATGCAATGGGTCGGGTTTGGTGGCTTCTCTCACTGGCAGCAGGAGAGGACCTTGCCGGCTTTGAGTGCAGATCCCCCGTCCTGGGAACGGGATCTTGGCCGCTTTGCCTTGCAGCAGAACCAGAACCTTCCTGGCCTCGCCCTGTCCCATCCCCCGGGGTGGTGCCACAGAGCCCCCAAGAGAGGAGGGATGATGATGATGATGATGATGATGATGATGATGCCATGAGCTCTGCGTCCGCTTCGGGCTCTCCTCGCCTCGCTCCGGGATCCTTCATCCCCGTGGAGTCCTCCCCAGCCCCTGGGTGCTCCCCAGTCCATCCAGTCCCTCCTTCCTGGGAGCTCTGGGGTTGTTATTTGGTGCATGTTCGTTAATGTGGCCCCCCCCAGGGTGTTGAAGGCACCCACAGCACCTGGGATTAGGGGGGTTGATGCTCCATGGCGCAGCACCCACCACCCCAAAACCCCTGGGTGAGGGTGCCAGGTGACCGTGAGCCTCCTTGGGATGTCCCCACGGTGTCTCTGCCCCGTGACACCACCCCTGGCTCTGTCCCAGGAGGATAAAAGGGTTTTCCACTTCATTTTTTGGGGATATCCCTACAAGTGCTGCCCCACGAGGGGGTGAAGGTCCGGGCTCTGAGCAGGGAATGGTTTGTGCCGCTGCCAAACCGGAGCTGCTGCTCCCAGCCCTGAGATTTGGGGTTTGTTTCTGTTCCCAGCCCTGGGATTTGGGGTTTGTTTCTGTTCCAGTGCCCCCAGTGTCTGGTCCATACTGGGGAGCTGCTCTGGGCTCTGGGAGGGGCAGGAGAGCACTGTTCCCATGGATTTATTGAGGGAGAGGAGGGAAATGGGGAGAGGACACCCCTGGGTGACCGTCCCCCCCTGGGCTGGGGGTCACTTGGTGCCCCCTTCCTGCACCTGGATGTTCTGGGGTTGGGACAGCCCAGCCAGGGAGGGACAGAGGTGTCCCCATGGTGTCCCCATGGTGTCCCCATGGTGGCCGGGTTTGGGGTTGGCAATGGGGTCAGCACTGGAGAGGGGTCTGGGGGCCGAGAGGGTGCGGGGAAGTGCAGAGGATGGGGAGGAGAAAGGGAAGGAGGAGGGAGGAGGTGCTGGAGTGACCCTGGAGCCGGGCAGGGAGCGGGAAAGGATCCCAGGGTGACCTGAGAGGGGCTCAGGGCTCTGAGCTGGGGGGGCTGGGGGTGTTCACAGGAGGCCTTGGCACCCTTGGAGTGCTGCCATCAGTGCCTGGACACAGAACTGTCCCCACAGGGTCCCCCTGGGGACAGCGGGGTGTGGGAGAGCCACGGCTCCGTGCACCCCAAAGGGGCTTGGGGTGCTCCAGGGCAACAATCCCATGGGAAATCGGGATTATCGTGGCTTTAGGGCAGTTCTGGGCACCTSTGGGCTCAGCCCCAGATGTCTCCCTTGGCTGTGGGTAAACAGTTGTGGATTATAATTACTTTTTTTTTTTAATTCTTTTTGGGGGTTTTGTTTGTTTTTTCTTGTTTTATTTTTTTGTTTGTTTTTTTTAAAGCACTGTGCGCTGATTAAAAAATTTTACTACTGTTTTATAAATAAATGTATAAAAGAATGAACTGGAATGGAAGAAGAATCATTAAAAATATATTTATTTACAACATCCTGGAGCGTGGCAGCTTCTTCTTTGGCCTGGGGGAGGACTGCACTGCTGGGGATGGATTAACTCTGGTCCAGGTGGGTTTTGGGGACTCTCCTGCCCAGGGAAAAGTGAAAAAATCTATTTAAAGGGAAAAAGCTCATGAAGTTTTAAAAATTCATTTATTTATATTTTTTAATGTATTTTATTTATGAATTGTAAAACTTCCCACAACACGTCTGCAGCCCCTCAGCCTCTGTCCCCCGCTCCCCTCGGGGCTGGGGTTAAACACACCCAGGAGGGGGAAAAAAGGAAGAAAATCCACCTGAAAATGGAATTCCCAGGCTGGAAAATCACAGGGGCTAATCTTGGAAACTTTATTGAAAAGGAGAAGGAGGGGAAAAAAGAGCAAGAAGAGGCTGAAGAGGATGCGAGGCGGGGGGAGAGGAGTGAGTGGTTGCAGACACTTCAGAGAAAAAAAAAACACAAAAAAAAAATTTAAAAAAAAATTCCTGATTTGATTTATCAGGGGAGCGCGAGCGCTAAATAGAGAACAACGCCTGAAGTGTGAATTATTTCCTATATTAACACAGAGAAAAACTGATAGCCTTTTCATATCAGGAGAATAGCGCGCCGGGGAGGGCGGGCGGCGCTCGCATTGTTCCGGCGCCGGCTCCGCTCGCGCTTTATCAGGCCCAGATCAAAATTTATTCCCAGGATGAGGCCTGCGGGCCCGGCTGAGGCCCTGGAGATTTTGAAGGGCCTAATTAAGAAAACAGGATGAAAATGGCGAAATAAGAGGGCAATTTACTTCTCGCGGAATGGGGAGATCAAATCAACTTATGAGCAATTAATGTGCGCGARGAGAGAATAAAGGGATGCCGGGATATGGAAGAGGGGCCTCATTTTAATGACATGCTCTGGTGTTGGCATAGAGGATTACTCTGAAGGTCAGATGGAGATTGAAACGACCTTGCAGATTCTTAACCCTCCTTCCAATTAACAGAACCAACTCAGAAATGCAAAAGAGCCCGGCTCGGAGCGCTGGCGGCCCTTTATGTGCCGAGGGGATGGGGCGGAGAGCGGGGGGAAATGGAATTATAAAGGAGAGAGAGAGGACGAAAGGGGCTTTCCTTGGCTTCCACGGCGGCCTGGAGAGGGAGGGGAGGCTCTTAATTACAGTCGGGGAGGAAAACACGGAAAACGCCATGTCAGGGCTGAGGGGGGACACGAGAGGGAGGGAGGAG